AAATGAAATTGAAGTATTTGTAGAGTAAATTTCTCTACATTTTAAACAGATTTTTGCCTTTGTGTGTGTGTGTGTGTGTGTGTCTTTTTTTTTCCTTCCTTTTTTGTGGAGAACAGGGTCTTACTATATTGCCCAGACAGGTCTCAAACTTCCAGGCTCAAGCTATCCTCCCGCCTCTGCCTCCCTGAGAGCTGGGATTACAGGCGTGAGTCACCGCGCCCAGCCAGATTCTTGCTTTTTAAAAGTTGACTGGGCGCGGTGGCTCACGCCTGTAATCCCAGCACTTTGGGAGGCCAAAGCGGGCAGATTTCCTGAGGTCAGGAGTTTGAGAACAGCCTGGCCAACATGGCGAAACTCCGTCTCTACTAAAAATACAAAAATTGCCAGGTGTGGTGGCGTGTGCTCATAATCCCAGCTACTCCGGAGGCTGAGGCAAGAGAATTGTTTGAACCTGGGAGGCAGAGGTTGCAGTGAGCCAAGATCATGCCACTGCACTCCAGCCTGGGCGACAGAACAAGACTTTCAAAAAAATAAATAAATAAAACAAAAGCGCTAATGATTATTTTCTAAGTATAATGAGCTCTGACATTTGTAAAAATGGTTTGCATCATCTGGTCCATTATCTTATTTAATCTTTATGATCAGTTCTATGAAATAGATGTTAGATTATTTTACTATGAAATAATAAGCTCAGGCCAGGTGCGGTGGCTCATGCCTGTAATTCCAGCAATTTGGGAGGCCGAGGAGGGCAGATCCTGAGGTCAGGAGTTCAAGACCAGCCTGGCCAACATAGTGAAACCTCGTCTCTACTAAAAATATATTTTAAAAAAATTAGCCAGGTGTGGTGGTGGGCGCCTGTAATCCCAGCGGCTTGGGAGGTTGAGACAAGACTCACTTGAACTCAGGAAGCAGAGGTTGCAGTGACCAGAGATGGCACCACTGCGTTCCAGCCTGGGTGACAGTGCGAGACTCCATCTCAAAAAATAAAAATAAAAAAAAAGAAATAATGAGCTCAAGTGTGATTTATTCAAGATCACTCTGATAAAGAAATTATATGGGGCTACGAATATATTCCAGCTTGTCTCTTAGTCAAGTGCTCTATTAACTATATCACCTATGAAGAGAAAGAAATACTGAAAATTGATATTATTTATAAAATATGGATTCACAAATGAATACTGAGTGAGGGGGCCCTGCTACTGGCCTTACAACTGCTGGGCTCTGCTCAGGAACCCTAATCTGGTCCAGAGTGAGCAGTATGGTGTCAGCCCAGCCTTTCACAAGTCTTTAAGCCTTCAGGCTTTCTTTTAATCAAGATGAGTGATAAACCCATACTTGTCAGAAGTGAAGTTTGATAGGTCAAAATTGAAGAAAACTAACACTGGAGAAAAAAATACTCTTTCTTCCAAGGAAACTATCCAGCAGGAGAAAGAGGGTGTTCAAACATCATATAATGGGGGCTGGGTATGGTGGCTCATGCCTGTAATCTTTGGGAGGCTGAGGTGGGGGGATCACCTGAGGTCAGGAGGTCGAGACCACCCTGGCCAACATGGCTAAGCCCAGTCTCTACTAAAAATACAAAAATTAGCTGGGTGTGGTGGCACGTGCCTGTAGTCACAGCTACTCGGGAGCCTGAGGCAGGAGAATCACTTGACCCCGAGAGGCAGAGGTTGCAGTGAGCTGAGATTGGGACACTGCACTCCAGCCTGGGTGACAGAGTGAGACTCCGTCTCAAACAAACAAACAAAAATGAATCAGGCATGGTGGCACACGCCTGTAATCCCAGCTACTCGGAAGTCTGAGGCAGGTAAATCACCTGAACCCGGGAGGCGGAGGTTGTAGTGAGCCGTGATCAAGCCACTGTACTCCAGCCTGGGTGACAGAACAAGACTCCGTCTCAAAACAAAACAAAACAAAGCAAAACACCAAAAATCTTCCCATTGGTGCATAAATTCCACATGGCAGATGCTGCCAATAATCTAACCATTGATGACCTGTGTGTGTATAGTCTTTGCATCTCCTACAGGAAAAGCCAATTTTAACCTTCTATGAGTGTCTCCATTGCTTCATAATCTTTTTTTTTTTTTTTTTTTTTTTGAAACCGAGGTTCAACTCTGTCGTCCAGGCTGGAGTGCAGTGGCCGCATCTCAGCTCACTGCAAGCTCCGCCTCCAGGGTTCACGCCATTCTCCTGCCTCAGCCTCCCGACTAGCTGGGACTACAGGCGCCCGCCCCCTCGCCCGGCTAGTTTTTTGGTTTTTTTGTTTTTGTTTTTTTTGAGACAGAGTCTCGCTCTGTCGCCCAGGCTGGAGTGCAGTGGCCGGATCTCAGCTCACTGCAAGCTCTGCCTCCCGGGTTCACGCCATTCTCCTGCCTCAGCCTCCTGAGTAGCTGGGACCACAGGCGCCGCCACCACGCCCGGCTAGTTCTTTGTATTTTTTTAGTAGAGATGGGGTTTCACCGTGTTAGCCAGGATGGTCTCGATCTCCTGACCTCATGATCCACCCGTCTCGGCCTCCCAAAGTGCTGGGATTACAGGCTTGAGCCACCAAGCCCGGCCTTGTATTTTTTTAGTAGAGACGGGGTTTCACCGTGTTAGCCAGGATGGTCTTGATCTCCTGACCTCGTGATCCGCCGGTCTCGGCCTCCCAAAGTGCTGGGATTACAGGCGTGAGCCATCACACCTGGCTATGATCTTTTCTTCAGAGGTAGATACAGCAGATAAAAAGATTTAAAAATCATTTTCACGTGGCAAGCCATGGCAAAATGTAACTACTTAAGGCTGCTTTAAATTAGACTAATAGCAGAGTGATTAGACTATATTGAAAGCTTGGTGAATCACAATTATGTACCTCAAAGAAAGATTCTTGTTTGCCTTATTACTATGTAAATAACTGAAATATTTGTTTTTCTTCCTAAAAGGGGTCATGTAGATGTTTACTTACAATGTATTTTAAGTTTGTCACTCTAAATGGTTATGAGCAAGCGAGACCGTCCTGGCTAACATGGTGAAACCCCGTCTCCACTAAAAATACAAAAAATTAGCCGGCTGTGGTGGCGGCGCCTGTAGTCCCAGCTACTCGGGAGGCTGGGGCAGAAAGGCGTGTACCCGGGAGGGGGAGCTTGCAGTGAGCCGAGATCGCGCCACTCACTCCAGCCTGGGCGACAGAGCAAGACTCCATCTCCAAAAAAAAAAAAAAAAAAGGAAAAATCTTCAATAAATATCACCATGGCCGGGCGCGGTGGCTCAAGCCTGTAATCCCAGCACTTTGGGAGGCCGAGGCGGGTGGATCACGTGGTCAGGAGATCGAGACCATCCTGGCTAACATGGTGAAACCCCGTCTCTACTAAAAATACAAAAAACTAGCCGGGCGCAGTGACAGGCGCCTGTAGTCCCAGCTACTCGGAGGCTGAGGCGGGAGAATGGCGTGAACCCGGGAGGCGGAGCTTGCAGTGAGCCGAGATCGCGCCACTGCACTCCAGTCTGGGCGACACAGCGAGACTCCGTCTCAAAAAAAAAAAAAAAAAAAAAAAAAAATCACCTTAGATTATAACCCCAAAACATATTTACGAGCCTCAACATCGTTACTGTTACCGCTTTAACATTTAAGACAGTAAAAAGCATAATGGATCTCCCGTAGGGTGCGGGGAATCCGATACGACTATGTTGAAAACATAGGGTCTGGGGAAAAAGGGATTTAAAATAAGAAGGAAAAAAAAGACTTGAGACTTAAAAAGTCTTTTAGAGGCCAGCTCACGGTGACAAAAACCGACCCTCACCCCGAGCCACGTGAGGTTTTCTGCCTCCTCCCTGGCCTTTTCTTCCGCAGTCAGAAGGCGGAAGAAAAGCGACCTCAAGGTGGGGCGAGAGACAGGGCGGACCCTGGCGACCTGACGCTGGGGAGGCTCGAGTGGCGGATCCATACCGCTCAGCTGCTCGCCGCGGGACCCCGCCGGCCCGCAGGTGACCCAGTGCTGGAGAAACGCCAGCGATGTGGCCTGGCGAGCTGGCGCGGGGCAAGGACCACCCGCGCCCGCCTTGCCGCCCCAGCCTCCCTCCCTAGGAAGCCGGGCACGCCGGGTGAGCGCGGGGCTTCCCCGGGACCGGCGTTCCAGTCCCTCTCCAGCTTCCGGCCCACCCCTGCCGGACTGAGAGCAGAAATGGGATCTCTGCCTTGAGAAAATGCTCGTGGCCAGCGACTACCCCAACGCACAATAATATGGCTCCGATGGGCTCAAAGGTATTGGTTTTCTGTTTTGTTTTGAGACAAGGTCTCACTCGGTCACCCAGAATGGAGTGAAATTGCGTGATCTTAGCTCACTGCAACCTCCGCTTCCCGGGCTCAAGCGATTCTCCTGCCTCAGCCTCCCGAGCAGCTGGGATTACAGGCGTGCGCCACCATGCCTGGCTAATTTTGTATTTTTAGTAGAGACAGGGTTTCACCATGTTGGCCAGGCTGGTCTCGAACTCCTGGCCTCAAGTTATACGTCCGCCTTGGCCTCCCAAGGTGCTGGTATTATAGGCATGAGCCATGGCGCCCGGTCCAGTGTTGGTTCTTAAACGCAAGAATTGATATATCTCCCTTCACCTAATGAAAGTCTCAGCCACTATTGCAATACTCAGAACACCCAGTCGGTGTTGCGCAATAGGTTGCCAAGGTATAAATCAAGGATTCATGTAATTTTGCCATTCCTTGCGTGATATTTTAAAAAACATTCTCTGTAAGGTATTTATAAAGCGTTTACTATTATCCGCAATCACAGGGGCTTGAGGAAAAACTTTTGACTGTGGCTGGGCTCCGTGGCTCACGCCTGTAATCCCAGCACTATGGGACACTGAGGCGGGTGGATCACTTGAGGTCAGCAGTTCGAGACCAGCCTGGCCAACATGGTGAAACTCCGTCTCTTCTAAAAATACAAAAATTTGTGGGGCGCGCTTGTAGCCCCAGCTACTCAGGAGACTGAGGCAGGAGAATAGCTTGAACCTGGGAGGCAGAGCTTGCAGTGAGCTGAGATCGTGCCACTGCACCCCAGCCTGGGCAACAGAGTAGGACTCCGTCCGGGGGGAAAAAAAAAAGAAAGAAAGAAGGAAAAAAAAGTGGACTGTAAAAACCGAACGGACTAGAAAAACTTTATACTACAAAGATACAAAAACCAAGAAAGCACCATAGGCGTTTGCCTTTAACTGCTTCCCAACTTGTTTTCCTCTTCCAATTTGATTGTGAGTTCCTCTCCAGAAGGAACTCCACAGTACTTCGCTGGCCACATAGTAGGTTCTCAAATACTTGTTAATAAATAAGTTTGTTCGAGAAGCTGGGCAGTAATATTCTACAGCTGGAAGAAGAAACATAATGATCTAGTAATTAGCTCATTAAAAATAAACGTTCTTCATTCCTCAGAGGAGCATTTCCCAAGGCCTGTCTTGATAGCCATCCAAAACGGCCAAGCTCATCCAATCTTGCCCTAGATTTATGCTAAAATGCAGTTACAATCTATAGGATGACAGTAAAAGAAAGCACTTATTTAAATATAATAGGCACTTATTTAAATAGGAGAAGCTGTGACTTCATAGCAAGTGTTGGGGTTAGGAAACTGGGTGGATAAACTTGCTGATGCTGTAGATCTTAGTCTCTACATGAGATCACGTGGAAAATCTGAATTTGAAAGCTTTTTAGGTTCCTTATGTTTGCAATCAAATGACTGTACACCTTTTAATTTAAAAAGTACCATGAGGCACACACACACTCACAGGAAGTTTTTGGCGTAACAAAACTAGAATTAGATCTAAAGCTAACTGTAGGACTGAGTCTATTCTAAACTGAAAGCCTGGACATCTGGAGTACCAGGGGGAGATGACGTGTTACGGGCTTTGATAAAAGCAGCTGGCTTTGAATGGAAAGAGCCAAGAAGCCAGCACAGGAGCGGATTGGTCGAGCTCACGGCCATCGAGCCGAACCTCTCGCAGGTCCGTGAGCCGTTAAGGAGTCCCCCAGTCCAGACCCTTCGCCCCAAGCCCCTCGGGGTCCCCGGGCCTGGTACTCCTTGCCACAAGGGAGGGGCGCGGAAGCCGGGGCGGGGGAGGAGCCAACCCGGGGCTGGGCTGAGACCGGCAGAAGAAGACGCTCTAGGGATTTGTCGCGGACTAGTGAGATGGCAAGGCTGAGGACAGGAGGCTGATTGGGGGGCGAAGGTACACCCTAATCTCAACACAACCTTTGGGGCTAAGCCAGCAATGGTAGAGGAAAGATTCTGGACGTGCCTTCCAGGCCGCCACCTCGTCGCCTCCCCCCTCCCCCTCCCCTTCCCCCGCCCCGGCCGGAGCTGAGAGTAATTCATACAAAAGGACTCGCCCCTGCCTTGGGGAATCCCAGGGACCGTCGTTAAACTCCCACTAACCTAGAACCCAGAGATCGCTGCGTTCCCGCCCCCTCACCCGCCCGCTCTCGTCATCACCAAGGTGGAGAAGAGCATGCGTGAGGCTCCGGTGCCCGTCAGTGGGCAGAGCGCACATCGCCCACAGTCCCCGAGAAGTTGGGGGGAGGGGTCGGCAATTGAACCGGTGCCTAGAGAAGGTGGCGCGGGGTAAACTGGGAAAGTGATGTCGTGTACTGGCTCCGCCCTTTTCCCGAGGGTGGGGGAGAACCGTATATAAGTGCAGTAGTCGCTGTGAACGTTCTTTTTCGCAACGGGTTTGCCGCCAGAACACAGGTAAGTACCGTGTGTGGCTCCCGCGGGCCTGGCCTCTTTGCGGGCTGTGGCCCTCGCGTGCTTTTCATTACTTCCACGCCCCTGGCCGCTGTACGTGATTCTTGATCCCGAGCTTCGGGTTGGAAGTGGGTGGGAGAGGTCGAGGCCTTGCACTTAAGGAGTCCCTTCGCCTCGTGCTTGAGTCGAGGCCTGGCTTGGGCTCTGGGGCTGCCGCGTGCGAATCTGGTGGCACCTTCGCGCCTGCCCCGCTGCTTTCACTAAGTTTCTAGCCGTTTAAGATTTTTGATGAGCAGCTGCGACGCCTTTTTTTTGGCGAGATAATCTTACAAATGCGGACTAGGATCTGCACACTGATACTGGGGTTTTGGGGGCCGCGGGCTGCGACGGGGCTCGTGCGTCCCAGCGCACATGTTCGGCGAGGCGGGGCCTGCGAGCGCGGCCACCGAGAGTCGGACGGGGGGAGTCTCAGGCTGGCCGTCCTGCTCTGGTGCCTGGCCTCGCGCCGCGGTGTGCGCCCCGCCCTGGTCGGCAAGCCTGGCCCGGTCGGCACCAGTGGCGTGAGCGGAAAGATGGCCGCTTCCCGGCCCTGCCGCAGGGAGCTCAAAATGGAGGACGCGGCGCCCGGGAGAGCGGGCGGGTGAGTCACCCACACAAAGGAAAAGGGCCTTTCCCTCCTCAGTCCCCGCTTCATGTGACCCCACGGAGTACCCGGCGCCGTCCAGGCACCTCGATTCGTTCTCCGAGCTTTTGAGTACGTCTTCTTAGGTTTGGGGGAGGGGTTTTGTGCGGTGGAGTTTCCCCACACTTAGTGGGTGGAGACTGAAGAGTTAGGCCAGCTTGGCGCTCGATGTCATTCTCCTTGGAATTTGCCCTTTTCGAATTTGGGTCTTGGCTTATTCTCAAGCTTCAGACAGTGGTTCAAAGTTTTTTCCTCCCATTTCAGGTGTCGTGAAAACTACCCCTAAAAGCCAAAATGGGAAAGGAGAAGACTCATATCAACATTGTCGTCATTGGACACGTAGATTCGGGCAAGTCCACCACTACTGGCCATCTGATCTACAAATGCGGTGGCATCGACAAAAGAACCATTGAAAAATTTGAGAAGGAGGCTGCTGAGGTATGTTTAATATCAGAAAGGGAAAGATGAACTAAAATGAGTTTTACCAGCAGAATCATTAAGTGGTGGTGATTTCCCCAGAACTAATGAGTGGTTTAGATCTGACCCTACTTATGAAAATAGTTTGCTTTTGGTTACTTCTGTAATCGTATTGCTAGTGAGTAGTTTCGATTTGGATGTTAATAGTTAAGATCCTACTTTAAAAAGTTTGCTTTTTGGTTGCTTCTGTAACCCTATCTGAGTGACTAAAATCACTTAGGACTTGTAGTTGTAAAGTGGAAACTATGTGCCAATTAAGGGCTGGGGGCAAGGAAATTGAAGCTGGAGTTTGTGTGTTAGTAACCAAGTAACGACTCTTAATCCTTACAGATGGGAAAGGGCTCCTTCAAGTATGCCTGGGTCTTGGATAAACTGAAAGCTGAGCGGGAACGTGGTATCACCATTGATATCTCCTTGTGGAAATTTGAGACCAGCAAGTATTATGTGACTATCATTGATGCCCCAGGACACAGAGACTTCATCAAAAACATGATTACAGGGACATCTCAGGTTGGTGAGATTAATAATTCTAGGTGTTTTTTTTTTCTTGAAATGCCTGTCTTGTGCATTGGTTTTGTCCTTTGGAGAGTTGACAGGGATATGTCTTTGCTTTCTTTAAAGGCTGACTGTGCTGTCCTGATTGTTGCTGCTGGTGTTGGTGAATTTGAAGCTGGTATCTCCAAGAATGGGCAGACCCGAGAGCATGCTCTTCTGGCTTACACACTGGGTGTGAAACAACTAATTGTTGGTGTTAACAAAATGGATTCCACTGAGCCACCCTACAGCCAGAAGAGATACGAGGAAATTGTTAAGGAAGTCAGCACTTACATTAAGAAAATTGGCTACAACCCCGACACAGTAGCATTTGTGCCAATTTCTGGTTGGAATGGTGACAACATGCTGGAGCCAAGTGCTAACGTAAGTGGCTTTCTTCAAGACCGTTGTTAAAAAGCTCTGGGAATGGCGATTTCATGCTTACACAAATTGGCATGGTTGTGTTTCAGATGCCTTGGTTCAAGGGATGGAAGGTCACCCGTAAGGATGGCAATGCCAGTGGAACCACGCTGCTTGAGGCTCTGGACTGCATCCTACCACCAACTCGTCCAACTGACAAGCCCTTGCGCCTGCCTCTCCAGGATGTCTACAAAATTGGTGGTAAGTTGGGTGTCAACAAAGTAGAATTTGAGTTGGTAGAGTACTATCTTCCTTCATAGGTATTTAGTATTTTGTAAATATTTTTAGGTATTGGTACTGTTCCTGTTGGCCGAGTGGAGACTGGTGTTCTCAAACCCGGTATGGTGGTCACCTTTGCTCCAGTCAACGTTACAACTGAAGTAAAATCTGTCGAAATGCACCATGAAGCTTTGAGTGAAGCTCTTCCTGGGGACAATGTGGGCTTCAATGTCAAGAATGTGTCTGTCAAGGATGTTCGTCGTGGCAACGTTGCTGGTGACAGCAAAAACGACCCACCAATGGAAGCAGCTGGCTTCACTGCTCAGGTAACAATTTTTAAAGTAACATGTTCTTACCTTATTGCAGAGGCTAAAGTCATTTGAGACTTTGGATTTACACTGAACGCAAATCTTTTTTTCCAAGGTGATTATCCTGAACCATCCAGGCCAAATAAGTGCTGGCTATGCCCCTGTGTTGGATTGCCACACGGCTCACATTGCATGCAAGTTTGCTGAGCTGAAGGAAAAGATTGATCGCCGTTCTGGTAAAAAACTGGAAGATGGCCCTAAATTCTTGAAGTCTGGTGATGCTGCCATTGTTGATATGGTTCCTGGCAAGCCTATGTGTGTTGAGAGCTTCTCAGACTATCCACCTTTGGGTAAGGATGATTACTTAAATGTAAATAAGTTGTGTTAAAGATGAAAAATACAACTGTGAACAGTATTTTGGTAATACTAAATTTTTTTTTTAATAGGTCGCTTTGCTGTTCGTGATATGAGGCAGACAGTTGCGGTGGGTGTCATCAAAGCAGTGGACAAGAAGGCTGCTGGAGCTGGCAAGGTCACCAAGTCTGCCCAGAAAGCTCAGAAGGCTAAATGAATATTATCCCTAATACCTGCCACCCCACTCTTAATCAGTGGTGGAAGAACGGTCTCAGAACTGTTTGTTTCAATTGGCCATTTAAGTTTAGTAGTAAAAGACTGGTTAATGATAACAATGCATCGTAAAACCTTCAGAAGGAAAGGAGAATGTTTTGTGGACCACTTTGGTTTTCTTTTTTGCGTGTGGCAGTTTTAAGTTATTAGTTTTTAAAATCAGTACTTTTTAATGGAAACAACTTGACCAAAAATTTGTCACAGAATTTTGAGACCCATTAAAAAAGTTTAATGAGAAACCTGTGTGTTCCTTTGGTCAACACTGAAACTTTCAAGTTTTACCTCGCTTAGGTGAAGGACGTGTAATTCTGGTTTTATGAATTTGTGGAAGCTTCATGAAAATGTAGTTCTCGAGTTAACACTTCTAGGTGGAGATAGGGTTGTTTTCCTCCCACATACTTGGAAGGGGAAGGAATCTAAGCTATGGGAGGGCTGCTTTGATTACCACATTGGAGAGAAATGCAGCATGTTACTGATGGCCTGTCACTAAGGAAGGCCAAATGCTGTAATAGAGTCCTTGTGTTGCATAAAAAGCTTAATGTAGTTAAACCAATGTTAAGTGAATCTTTGGAAACACGAAATAGTAGTTTCCAAATTACAGGGATGTGCGTTTTAAAACAGGTTAAAATGGGCAGTGGAAGTTGACTATTTTCCCTGACATAAGTAAGTAGTTGCTAGTGCACACCCTATGTGAGTGGAGGGATCCATTTTAAAGTCAGTGGAGTTAGCTTTATGCCAGTTTGGTTTCACAAGTTTTACTGAGTGCTATTCAGAATAGGAACAAGGTGCTAACAAAAAGATGGCAATTTGAAGTAGCTATAAAATTGGACAGAGCCTAATCTTAAGTTTCTTCCTCCTGCAGTCTAATACCTTTTATGCTTTGATTAGCAATTTGTCTGCTTGGTCACTAGCAATGAAGTGGTCATAAGCTTAACAGGTGTCAGTGATAGCCCACTTACTCCTGAATCTTAAGCATTCGTGCATTTGAAAAACTTAATGATCTTCCTGCTGGGATTACAGGCATGAGCCACTATGCCTGATCTCCCAGATGTAGAAGAGTATCTAAAGGTATCTTTTTGGCTATATAAGGAAAATTTTTGGTTAAGTTTGAAGGATAGGTAAAACTAAAGGACATGCTTTTTGTTTGTGTGATGGTTTTTTTTATTGAGATGGAGTTCTTGTTGCCCAGGCTGGAATGCAATGGTGAAATATCACTGCAAGTTATGCCTCCTAGGTTAGAGCAATTCTGCTTCAGCCTCCCAAGTAGCTGGGATTACAGGCATGTGCCTGTAATTTTATGTTTTTAGTAGAGATGAAGTTTCTCCATGTTGGTCAGGATCTCAAACTCCTGACCTTATGTGATCCCTCCACCTCAGCCTCCTGAAGTGCTGGAATTACAGGCATGAGCCACCATGCCCGGCCAGGACATATGTTCTATAAGGACATGCTAAGTAGGAGTTAAAGCAGCACGAGAGACAAGGCCTGTGTGTTGCTCAAGGTTCAAAGGTACTTGAATTGGCTATAGACAAGTTTGTAACTTGAAATGTTAGCCTTTTCCCTCATCTAAGTCTGAATTAGATAAAATGCCTTCCCATCAACCAATTCTCTGAGGTATCAAGTCCAAGTTAGATTTTTGTTCTTTAGTTTTTTTGCTATCTTCATGTTTACAAAAGGAAATTGCCTAAGATTTGCTGGAGGACTGTAGAAAAGACAGGTAAGGCCTTTAATAGATGGCCAGTAGAAGCCCTCTGTTGGCAGTTGACAGAGCTGTAAGATTTACCAGTGGAGAGAATTCTGTTGACACGCAAGGAAGCAAGACTTAACTGAAAAAATTGTTCCACTGGAAACAGGAAAGAGTTTACTTGCATACTGAGATTAACTTCTCTGTGAAATCCAGTGTCTTAGACAACTGTGGCTTGAGCACCACCTGCTGGTATTCATTACAAACTAGCTTGCTACAGTAAATGAGTTTTTTTTAAGCTTTAAGATGAAGTGGCATTTCTCTTGACAGTTACTATGTTGGAATTGGTTAAAATTTTTGGAGTGGATTTCAAAAGTGAGAACTACAGTATTTCAAGTTAGCGTTTGGCTTTTTTTTGTTTAGACGGGGTTTTACTCTTGACCTGGCTAGAATAGAAGTCATGGCTAACTGCAGCCCTGACTTCTGGGCTCAAGTGATCCTCCCTGAATAGCTGGGACCACAGGTGTTTGCCACCACACCTGGCTAATTTTTGTATTTTGCCAGTTGCCCAGGCTGGTCAACTCCTAGGCTCAAGTGGTCTTCCTGTACTGTATCTTCCCCAGTTAAACTGATACTTACCTTTCAAATCTCAGATGTACCAGGGCCTCAGCAGTGACTCAAGGAAGAACCTATGTGCTCTTAGTGGGACACAGTTTGTTCAGACCTACTAACCTCAACCCAGTTTCAATTCTTTCTAGTGGAGAATGTTGACAGCTTACATTGATAGGCCAGATTTTAGCATTAGATTTTCACGATCTTCGTGTTTCAAACATAGTAACTTACCATTTATCTTTTAGTGTAAAATATTTCATTTATCTAGAACCCCTGAAATTCAAATGTGCTTTTTCTCATCTAATTATTTGCAATTAAACATTTTTATCATTTACTTTGGTACTGTTTTTAGCAGGCCCATGGATCTCAGGGTTTAGTTTGTGGGCTCTATGGGAGACAATGACAAAGATGTTGGAATAATTCTAAGTAAGGGATATTAGAAAACGAAGCAGGCCAATTGATGGCTCATGCCTGTAATCCTACCACTTTGGGAGGCCGAGGTGGGGGGATCACAAGGTCAGGAGTTCAGACCAGCCTCACCAACATGGTGAAACCCCATCTCTACTGAAAATACAAAATTAGCCAGGTGTGGTGGCAGGTTCCTGTAGTCCCAGCTACTCAGGAGGCTGAGGCAGGAGAATCGCTTGAACCCGGGAGGCAGAGGTTGTGGTGAGCCAACATTGCACAACTGTACTCCAGCCTAGGCAACACAGCAAGTCTCTGTCTCAAAGAAAAAAAAAAGGCCAGGCACAGTTCCTTGAGGCCGAGGCAAGAAGATTTGTGAAACCCCGTCTCTACTAAAAATACAAAAAAGCCAGGCATGGTAGCACATGCCTATAGTCCCAACTGAGGCAGAGGTAGGAGAATCCCTTTATCTTGGAAAGTGGGGGTTGCAGTGAGCCAAGATCTTGCCAGGGCACTCCAGCCTGGGTGACAGGGCAAGACTGTCTCAAAAAATAATAAAAATTAGCTGGGGATGGTCATGCACACCTGTAGTCCCAAGCTTCTCTAGGGGGTTTAGGTAGGAGGATCGCTTCATCCTGGGAGGCTGAGGCTGCAGTGAGCTATGATGGTGCTACTGCACTCCAGCCTGGGCAACAGAGTGAGACCCCATATCAAAAAAAAAAGGTAAATCATAGAAAACTTTAAGCAAAAATATTTGGAAGGCTCCCATACCTTAAATAGAGATATATATATATATTATAAATATATATATTTTTTTAGAGACAGAGTCTCACTATGTTGACCAGGCTGGTTTCAACCTCCTGGTCTCTAGTGAGGTGCTGGGGTTACAGGCATGAGCCGCTGCACTCTGCCACATCCTTTAAAAGCATGTAGTTATGCAGGCCAGTTGCGGTGGCTCATCCCTGTAATCCCAGCACTGTGGGAGGCCGAGGCAGTTGGATCACCTAAGGACGGGAGCTTGAGACCAGCCTGGCCAACGTGGAGAAATCCCATCTCTACTAAAAATACAAAATTAGCCGGGCTTGGTGGCGCATACCTGTAATCCCAGCTACTGGGGAGGCTGAGGCAGGAGAACTACTTGAACCCAGGAGGCAGAGGTTGTGGTGAGCCGAGATCGTGCCATTGCACTCCAGCCTGGGCAACAAGAGTGAAACTCCATCTCAAAAAAAAAAAAAAAAAAAAAAGGTATATAATTAATGCAAATTTCAACATGTATACAAATTACCACAATTAAAATATGGAACAGTTCTGTCACCCTGTAAAATTCACCTGTGCCCCTTCAAAAATTAAAATTTCTTTAGAGAAGAAGTCTCGCTCTGTTACAGAGTCTGGAGTGCAGTGGCCTAATAGCTCTCTGAAGCCTCGAACCCCTGGGCTTAAGCGATCCTTCCACCTCAGTCTCCCAAGTAGCTACGACAACAGGCATGAGCCACTGCACCTGGCAACCTGCGCCCCTTTGTAGTCAACCTCCCTACCCCTAGCACTTGTAGCCACTGGTTCTTTTCTATCCTCATTGCTTTTGCAGGACTGTCCCTATACCTGGACTCACAGTTTATAGCATTTTGAGTCTGGCCTCTTTTTGCAGAGACAGTCTTGGCCGGGCGCGGTGGCTCAAGTCTGTAATCCCAGCACTTTGGGAGGCCGAGGCGGGTGGATCACGAGGTCAGGAGATCGAGACCATGCTGGCTAACACGGTGAAACCCCGTCTCTACTAAAAATACAAAAAAAAACTAGCCGGGCGGGGTGGCGGGCGCCTGTAGTCCCAGCTACTCGGGAGGCTGAGGCAGGAGAATGGCCAAGCCGGGAGGCAAGGCTTGCACTGAGCTGAGATCCAGCCACTGCCTCCAGCCTGGGCAACAGAGTAGAACTCCGTCTCAAAAAAAAAAAAAAAAAAAAAAAAAAAAAAGGCCGTCTCACTCTATCATGCAGGCTGGAGTGCAGTGGCGCGGTCTCAGCTCACAGGAATCTCCGTCTCACAGGTTCAAGCAATTCTGCCTCAGCCTCCTGAGTAGCTGGGACCACAGGTGCCCACCACCACACCTGGCTAATTTTTGTATTTTCAGTAGAGACAGGATTTCACCATGTTGGTCAGGCTGGTCTCAACCTCCTGACCTCAGATGATCTGCCCGTCTTGGCCTCCCAAAATGCTGGGATTACAGGCGTGAGCCACCCCGCGCCAAGCCAAGACATCTCAAAAAAAAGAGCCAGACTCAAATGCTATAAACTGTGAGTCCAGGTAAAAGTCTAGCCTCTTTAACTTGGCATGATGCATTTTGAGATGTATTCATTTTTGCATATATCCAGTAATCTCTTCCTTTTTAATGGGTGCTGACAGTTTGTGTATTCATTCCCAGCTGAGGGCATTTAGTTGTTTCAGTTTTGGACAATTATTAATAAAAGTTGCTATAAATGTCCTTTTGGTTACTGTGCATAATGATGTTTTTTGTTTACTTGCATAAATGGCTAGGAAAGTGATTACTA